ACACACACACACACACACACACACACACGTATTTGCAGTGTCAATGGCAAACAATCTCACAGCTCCCATTAGCACTCACTGAATGATATTTATTCTGGTCATCATACGTGTTTCACAGTTGCACATACTGTGTTATTGCTCGTAATTCTGTCTCTGAAGACATTAATTTGATAATAAACACTGTCGCCTTGCAAAGGTCAGGGTGTTGATTTAAAAAAAAAACCACTGAGAGAGAAGAGCTGGAGAGAAATTAACTGCTATTTAAAAACCTTGAGTTATGCATTGAAATGTATCTTTTTTATTTATTTCCAGTCGAAGATGAACTTGATAAATGTCAAGCTATTTATTCTCACACACTCACACACTCCCATTTACAAACTCATACTTTTATTACCGTTACTACACCTTCATTCAGAGGAACATGTTTTCTTTCCTTCTCAACCAGGAAGCAGGTTGAGGCAGACGGCCGCCTACACTGGGCCTTGGTCTGCTTCAGATTTATTGCAGTTAAAAGAAAGTTTGTTTATCCATTGTGGCCAAGTGCTTGTTGTGGAAACTACTGCATCTCTCCCAGTCAGTCTAGACCTGCTCCATAGGGGCCATGAGATAACTTCTGTTTGGACCATATAAATAAAACTGACTAGTCGTGCATGGTAAGTTAATAATGGACTTTACTACGTAGCCTTAACAAGAAAATAAGGGAGTGATCTGATAACCGTAATGATTTTTTTGTTCTAAAACATAATTAAATAAAGTGAAAAGAAATATCAAAATCTGCCCCTTGATCCATCTGCACCAAATGTAAATGTGTTCCTTCAAGGCCTGCGAACCATCCCTCCACCCACAGTGTAGAAAATTGATGTAGATATTTTTTGTGTAATTCTGCTGACAAATAACCCAACCAACAAAAAAAAAAACTACAAACGTGAAGACATAATCTTCTTGGTCTATTATAAACAAATAATAAACAAATAAATCCTAAAAACCTAAAAACTGAGAACATAAAGAATGGTTGCTTCAGGGACAATGCTGATATGATGATGTTTAATGGTTGTAATACCATGTTCACCGGCTTTGGATTCTTTTATTGGACAAATTGAAATTTTTAGCAGTTCTTTTGTGGACTTTCACACTTATAAATTTCATTTAAAATATCATCATGTCTTTCTAATTAAGTGAAGCTCTCTGCTCAGAACTCTCTGGATGACTCAATCCACTCTTACATCCTGTGTTGTTTGAGGGTTTGGATAGTTCTGCGATGTGTTCGCAGCTCATCATGACTGTGAATGATAAACAGTTGCCTCACACAAGGTTAGTTGTTTTGACTCGTGTCAGCATCGCAGTCTGGTTCTCAGACATGACACTTTGAGACAGATGTCACAGGGTGAGCTGTGATTAATGCACATGACAGCGACAGCTTCATTCATTAAGAGAACTCCTCCCACTGAGTGTCATATTAAATTACTAGAACCAACCCCTGGTCTTTTTCAAGGCTGAACACACTGTCAAAACAATGGCAATGCTTGATGTGAGAGACTAACGTTTGTTTCACGAGACGGGGAAGTGTGGCAAGTTTCCGACATCCCCTTAAAAAAAAAAAAAAGTGACATGTCAATGTGACATGTAAAACGTTGAAACGCATGACATTCAAATCATTAATGGAACGTCACCATTAGTATTCATAAGTCCAGCCGTTTCAGAGTCATAGTCAACCATCTTTTTGATATATTCTGCACCATATAATACATTTAAACCTTGCAGTCAGTTAAATGTATGTCCTTTGAAATACTATTTTCATCTTTATCAGCTTTTATTACGTTAAAATGAAAACTGAAAATATTCAATGAATGCAGGACACAGATCGTTTCCCTGATTCAGTTCAATACGATGAGAAGTATTGATTCAATATGGATATGATGCCTTATCCTGTCTCTCTCTGCTTGAATCTTGATACATGTGCCGGCCCTGATGATTCACTTGACTTCTGGTTCAGCAAAATGAAATCATGAGAGCAGAGGGGAGAAAAGAAGAATGGTTAATAATATACATGTTCTTCTAACACACGTAATTTAAATATTTTAACGTGTGGGATGAAAAGTTTTCCTTAGCTGTGAAGCTCAAATGCAAAGTGAATAATAACACAGCAGATGCAGGGGCTTGGTAATCTTGCTCTTTTTTTCAACAACAGATGAACAACAAAAAAAAGTGCAAAGCAAGTCATTGCATTCTGTGGACATTTATAATTTAAGCTAGACATAATTTATTAACAACCCGAATCACAGAAACCTCAAAGTATCTCAAAACAGCTTCTACAGGACAGATGGAAACCCTCTTTATTCTTTTCTTATAGCAATTCAGTCCCACTGATACTGACTGTATCTTCTATCAAAACCTTCTTCAGCACGCGTAGCCAATGCACGTGAAAAGATGCGACCAATAGTGAGAGACATCTGAAACATCCCCTGGAGTTAAACCAGAGAACGCTATTTAACGCGATGGCAGAGTGAGAATGAGTCTGACCTCGGCTGTCAGTTGAGACGGAGACACCCATCATTCAAATGAGACAGGCGATTAGCGGAAGGACAAATCACGACAGCTGAAGAGAAACAGAGAAAGAAAAAGAGGAGAGTTGCGGGAAAAGACGGACACAGGCTGCAGTGATGTGGGAGAAGAGAAAAAAGATGAAATACAGCAGCAGTTGGGGGACGGTTCACCCTTACATAGTTAAACGAATGGGCTACTTAAAGGATATAAACAGAAAATGCAATTGATAAAAAAAAAAGGAGGATTTCCCACAGAACAAGAAAAATAAACAGAAAAGTCTGGGAGGAGAGAGGCGGAGAGGAAAAATATGCTAAAAAGTCACAGAGAGGAAGGTAATGAAAGACTAAAAACTTTCAAAATGAGAACGGATTTAGTGACACTGAATGATAGAAGGAGAGGCAGCCGGCTTTCATCAGGCTACTGATGAGTGGAAGCGGAGAAATATAATAGCATCATTCCATGGAAATTGAAAAAGGTCCTGGAAATGTTCTTTGAAATCACATTTACGCTCACAGTGTGGTTTATCACGGGGCACGGGGATAATTTTTAGCGGTGGAGAAGCAAAAAATAAACACAACCTTGTCAAGAAGCAGACTTCAACTTTTCTTTCACCACAGTTCCTCCTATGTCAACTATTCCTTCTTCTCACACTCATTCACTCACAACTGAAATGTTATAGTGTGCTGTATTGCTGTGGTGTGATGCTTGGGGAGTTTACAGAACGTCTGCAGCAGTATGGGGCAGTTAGTTGGAGGTGGATGTGCAGATTGTTTTCCAGTTAAGTTACTTTGAGTTCATGTTTTTGTAGATGTTTAAAATGGCAGAGCATTGTGCTGAATTTACAGCGGAGTAACATAAAATATGCCTATATGAGCTTTATGTGAGGAAATTACAGTATTAGTATTATTAGTATAAACTTAGGGTTTCACTCCCATGTGTGTATGCCATGATTGACTGATTTGAACAAATGACAGCTCCCAACTTCAAATTCAGAGGTGGAGCAACACAACCATGGCGTGGGTCACATTCTTTAAGCAGTGAGGAGATACTGACTCAGTTGTGTTCTCAAATTGCAAAAGCTGGCTGTGTTAACAACTTCTGACATCCTCAAAAAGCCTATAGAGACGTATTCCACTGATGATTTGGTTTGCCTGGATGGATGAATAGACCCAGAATACATTTTTTTTGTTCTTTTCATTTAATTCCTGACAAACTAGACACATGATGAAGTGTGACCTCCTGCTAATTAAATCAATCAATCAATCAAATTCTATTTCCAATTTTCACGAATCCCAATTTGTCAAGTAGCTCAACAAGGTATGACATCGTCTTTCCTTAAACTATTGCATTTGCTCTTTGGA